TGGTTTAGCCTGATTTGTAAGATAGAACTGGGGTCATTATAGTGGGAGGGAGGAAGCATTAAAGAACTAGAGGAATGTTGTGTGTACTGCACCCTTGATGGCTCTTCCCTTCTATGAGCGGGTGTCCAATTGTCTACACATAGGCTTTGGGTCTCCATTCCAACCTACCTCTTTTGCATGGATATTCTTGTTTGTTTGGGGTCTACCTGATCCAATCGACACCTTGTGGTCACATGGGTAGGTGTGCTTCTTCCATATGAGCTTTGGTGCTTCCCTGATAGATGGCTGCTTGTTTAACTTCAAGCCTTTAAGACCCCAGGTGCTATATCTTGTAAAATCTGGGCACCATCAGCCTTCTTCACCACATTACCTTCTTGCACCCATTTTATCTTCAGATCGTGTGAGAAAGGTGAGCATCACAGAATGCTAGGTTATTAGAACAAAGTGTTCTTGCCTTGAGGGAGGACTTGAGCAGAGGCCCAATATCCATCTGCTACCTTAATGCTTAACATATATATATGTACGTAGACCCATATCCCTATTGTTATATATTAATATAGTTACATATGTACATGCCTATGTTTATACCTCTCTAAATGTATTTTGTCTCCTAATTCTTTCTTCTATTTCCTTTGACTTTCCTCCTGTCCCATTATAATGTTCAGCCTTCTTTCAGTTCTCTGTAGTTCCTCCTGGCTACATTGCACTTGATGGAACCCTACCAGGCATTCTATGTATTTCTATATAGGATGGATGACTTAAAACCAAAGAACAATGAAATGTATAGAGATAATTAGCACATAAATATGCTGTCTGATTATTAACATTTTATTTAGATTTAGAGTCCAGTGAAGGAGGTCCCTGGGTGAAGGAGATAGTTTAAGCTAGACTAACAATTGAAAGATTTTTTATTGATGGTTCAAATCAACCCTTCAACAATATTAAGTAAAGGCCTAATCTACTTCTGGTTAGGCCAAGAAAACCTAATGGAACCATTTGATTGTGTAACACATGAGATCACCTTAATTTGGTACCAACTTGATGATAAATATTTTTTAATAATTAAATAATTTTATTAGGGGTTTGCACAACTCTTATTACACACATACATCCATTGTGTCAAGCACTTTTGTACATTTGTCTCCCTCATCATTCTCAAAACATTTGCTTACTACTTGAGCCCTTGGTATCAGGAGCTGATAACTACTTTTTAAATTTTAATATGGTTCTGTCCCTTATTGGTTTTATAAATATTCTAAATCAAGGATATTTGTTTCATTGCCCTTGGATAAAATAAAGTTCACTTGGATGCTTCTTGAAAGAAGCAAACATGTTGCCACTGGGTCGATTCTGATTCAGGAAGATACCTTGGGTGTCAGAGGAGAACTGTGCTCCAAGGGGGTTTCAATGATTGCATTTTCACAAATAGTCCATTAGGCAACTTTGAGTGGACTCTAACCTTGTGGTGATTAGTCCAGTGCATTGGCCAATTCTCCCACCTGGGGCTGTTTGTTGTTAGGTGCAGTTGAGTCGGTTCCAACTCATAATGGCAGTGTGCACAACAGAATAAAACACTACCAGGTCCTGTGCCACCCTCACAATTAATAGTTTTGAGCCTATTGTTGCAGCCACTGGGTCAATTCACCTTGTTTTTAGCCCAGTGTTTCTAAAGTGGATGTGTACTGAAATGGGTGGATAGCACAAAACAATTAGGATAGAGTTCTCAGAATCACAGTGGCTTGGTTTCCTACAACCAAAAAAGAAAAAAATTGCTGAAGATCCTAGGATATCAGATCCTAAACTGTGAACTGTTGTGAGTTTTCATTCATTATTGGTGAATGTCTTGATTTAAAATATAGTACATTGTTGGTGCTTGTTTATTTGATTCTTTTTAACAACCTTGATTTCTCTTTTTCAATATAACTCAGATACATGGAGCTACAGAATCTAACAGGTTTCTCACAATTTCTCCTCCTGGGTCTTTCTGAGGATCCAGAACGGCAACCCCTCCTCTTTGGGCTGTTCCTGTCCATGTACCTGATCACTGTGACTGGAAACCTGCTCATCATCCTGGCTGTCAGCTCTGACCTCCATCTCCACACCCCCATGTACTTCTTCCTCGCTAACTTGTCCTTAATGGACATCGGTTTCATCTCTACCACTGTCCCAAAGATGCTAATGAACATCCAAACACAAATGAAATCCATTACCTATGCAGGCTGTCTGACACAAGTGTCATTTTTTGATCTTTTTGCATGTCTGGATAGTGTATTCCTCACTGTGATGGCTTATGATAGATTTGTGGCCATCTGTCACCCCCTTCACTACACAGCCATCATGAATCCTCGGCTCTGTGGCTTACTAGTTTTGGCATCGTTTTTCATTAGCCTTTTGAATTCCCAGCTGCACGTTTTAATGGTGTCACAACTTACCTTCTGCACAGATGTGGAAGTCCCGAGTTTCTTCTGTGATCCTCCACAACTTCTCAACCTTGCCTGCTCTGACACTTCCACCAGCACCATCTTAGTCTATTGTGTAGGTGCCATCTTTGGGGGTCTCCCAGCCTCGGGGATTCTTTTCTCTTACACTCGAATTATTTCCTCCATTTTGAGAGTCTCATCTTCAGGTGGAAGGTATAAAGCCTTTTCCACCTGTGGCTCTCACTTGTCAGTTGTTTGCTTATTTTATGGAACTGGTATTGGCGTGTACCTCAGTTCAGTTGTCTCATCTTCTGCCAGGAAGGGTGCTGCGGCCTCAGTGATGTACACGGTGGTCACCCCCATGCTGAACCCCTTCATCTACAGCCTACGGAACAGGGACATCAAGAGAGCCCTCTGGAGGCTCTTCAGCAGAACAACTTAATCGCAAGATTAAAGTCATCTCTTTACATATGTCTGTTTTAGAAAAAAAAAAAGACAAATACTAGTATCGGGAACCAGAAGTCTTATATATTTGGGTTAAATCATTTTTATAGCTTTTGGAGTTTTCAATCTCAAGTTTTGATATTGGAACATTGCTTAATTTGTCACATCTTTAATAGGATATCAGGATTATCCTGGTACATGTCAATCTGCATGTTCAAATTATGTATCAATTATGTAGCCTTCTGTAGCTTTTCATCTATGACCCAGGTTTCCTGACAAGATATAAAAGTGTATTTTATTTTGTATTTATAGTCTTCGTTCTTCACCATAGTGACAGTCTGGTGTCATTATGAATTATCTACAGGCAGTGTATATGAACTATATATGTGTGAGAATGTACGTGTCTGGTCCCAACCTGTGATTTCATCATAAAATCATCTGGGAAGCTTAAACAATATTTATGCGTGGTACCATCACTACAAGTTCTGATGTTACTGGAACAATATATAACTTGAGAAAAATATTTTATAACACCACCTGTGATGTCAAGGTGAGAATTACGCATCTTTGTAGACATTTCCTTGAAAGATGACTAACAAGTCATAAGTTTTTACTCTTGAGAAGATACTAAAGTCTCAAGGTGATCAGAGATCACAAGGAGAAAGATATTAAGGAAGAGGGAGGTGAATTTTACCAACATTCCTGGTGGTATTTCTTCTCATCTCTTCTTTGCTAACATTATTTTCTTAGCGGCTCTTGATTTGACTCCTAGACACATGATGTCCCCATGCACAGAAGAAATAAATGCTTCCCAGTCCTGCACCATTATCCTGATAGATTTTTATCCATAGTGTTTTAACTGACTGATTTTTGGCTGCATACACCAGGGCCTTTTTTTTAACTAGTCCATTTTAGTCTGGAATTTTTTGCAGAAACCAGTTCAATATTAGCATCATGCTAGCCTTTATTGACAGATGGTACCTGCACATGTAGCAGTACACTGGTTGGGACTCAAACCTGCCTGGTCTTAAACATAGGAACGGATTATTCTACCCATGAATCACCACAGCTTCAGCATTGCACACCCTGAAAAAGAGAAACCAAACCACTGCCAACTCACAAAGGCAGGATAGAACTGGTCCTGTGGGTTTACTGAACTGTAACTCTTTACAGGTGTAGAAGGCCTCATCATTTTTTCTTTCAGAACACCTGGCAATTAGCAGCTCAACACACAACCACTATGCTACCAGAGTTCCTCAAAATATATTACTGAACACCATGAAGTTGATTATATGTATTTGTTGGTAAACAATTTTTGCCCTATTCCACATTCATCTTTCCATACTGCTTGATGTTGGGCCCAGAGAGAGGAGAGTACTTAAACACACATCTTCTTTCACATATGGCTTTGTTACTAAGCAATTCCAATAATGATCACTTAAGTTCAGTACAATCTAATAGACTGGCCATTTTTCTTATAGGTATTTCATTAGCCTGTGGTGTGGTAGTTCATTTCTGTGATTATTATCTCTGTATTGCTCCTGTCTTGCCTTGCAGTCCTTATAGAACTACTTTACCAATTTCCAGTATTAACTACTCTCCAAGGTGTTCTTATTTTTCTTTAATGAATCCTAACTTACATATTCCATATAAGGAATAAAGCTAATTGTGAAATGTCTAAAACTGGAACAATAAAATTTTCTCATGGGGAAAAAAACGGGTTGTAAATAATATGTTTTGGTCAATGTGATACAACTGAGGGTTAAGGTAGTTGTCAATAAAATTTTTTTAAGTTGGTACTATATTTCTAATTGCTGTGGCTCCACTGGTGGTCTTCCATTATTTTACCAACTAATTTTGAATAAATTACATTTTAAAAATTTTTTATTAGTTTAGGCTAGCAACTCACTCATTGCAATATAGTCGATTGCAACTCATAGCCACCCTCCCTTTGGGTTTCCAAGGATGTACACCTTAATGAGAGTAAAAGCCTCATGGTGAGTTCAAACTGATGAATTTAGGGCTGGCCCACCAAGATGTAACCCATTATGGCCTCAGGGCTCCTTTAGGATAGCAAAGTGTCAATTTTTTTTCAGAGGTGTGTTAGTCTAGGTAGATTGGAGAAACAAACCCATGGACACATATAAGAAAGGGATATATATGGAAGAGCAATTGAACATTGAGCAAACATCCCAGCCCAGTCCATAACAAGTCCATAAGTCTGATATTAGCCCATATGTCCTATACCAATTTTTAAGTCCTCTTCAGACTCACAAAACACATGCAATGGTGCCAAATGTAGATCACAGGTCAGTGGGTAGAAAGTCTTTGGATCCAGTGGTATTGGAAACATCTCAGTGCTGGCAGGAGTCTCTGCATTGGAAACATCCCAGCGCTGGCAGTGGTCTCTTTGTGGCTTCTCCAGCTTCAGAGGTCTGGTTGCATCCCTGTGGCTTGTCTTCTGCAAATGCCTCCCAGGAAGTAGTAGAGAGAGGGTGGTGGTGTCTCCTGCCTCCAAGGAGGAAGTACCAGATTTCCCAGGATTCTCAGGAGAAAGCCATGACAACAGAAGTCTCATTGGCTATCTCCAGATTGACAGCCTAGCATCTACCCCTAACTCTTAATCCTTAAACTGACACCAGATTAGGTGACCACCACAAGAGGGGAGCTCTTGCCTTTCATTTATAATGGTCTTCTTAAGACTGTTGAGAATAAGATTTTAAAGTACCACAAGTGCTAAGTTGAGGATTAATCATCTTTTTAGACTTTTCCTTGAAAAATGATTAGTTTTTCATGAATGTTATTGTTGTTATTTTTGCATTAGAGTTCAAACTGAATGTGCTACCATGTGAACCATCTTTGCTCTTCTTCTATGTTCTACTACATCAATATGAATAAATCCTTTAGAGATAATGAGCATAATTTTGAGGGAACAATTTGGGTTCTATGAAACTTGCCCAATCAATAGCTTAATTTAGTCTGATTTTCATTACTGATTTAAATCATCTACAAATTTTCCCGTATACTTTTGGAGAGCAAGCAGAAAGTTGTTGGAGATAGTGCTGAAGGATGGGCCCCTTGGGTCAGAAGGTAATCTAAATGTGACTAAGGAGGAGTTGTTTTCTCAAAGTAGAATCGTGACATGAATGGAATAAAGTTTGTGGGAGTCAAGCTTTTGGGATCTCTATTTGCTGATGAAGCATAACACAATGTAAGAAGAAATAACGAAAAAAATCTACTAATAATTGGAACTTGGCATGTACAAAGTATGAATCTAGGAACATTAGAATTCATCAAAAATGAAATGGAACACATAAAGATCATAGGCGTTAATGAACTGAAATGGACTGGTATGGGAAAAAATGTTGAGTCAGAAAATCACATAGTGTCAATGACACAATTAAGAGGAAAAGTGTTATATTCATTGTCAAAAAGAACACTTCAAGGTCATTTGTCAAGTTCAGTGAGTGTTGTCTGTGATAGGATTATACCTTTCTGCCTTCAAGAAAATCTTATCAATACAATTGTCCAAATGTATGCACCAACCACAAAAGCTAGTAATGAAGAAATAGAATTCTACCAATGTCTTCAGTCTAGAACTGATTAAACACGCAACCAAGATGCATTGATAGTTATTGGAGATTAGACTGTAAAAGTTGGAAACAGACAGGAAGGAACACTACTTAGGAATAGGTACTTGATGATAAAAATGAAATTGGGGATCACATGATTAGAATTTTGCAATACCAATGACTTCTTCATAGTATATACCGTTTTTCAACAACACACAGATTTCTCCCAATGGAATAAACAGAAATAAAATTGATTACACCTGTGAGAACAGATGATTGAGAAGCTTAATATCAGCAGCTAAAACAAGGCTAATGGCTGACTGTGGAACAAACAACTAATTGCTCATATATAAGTTCAGATTGAAGCTGAAGAAAATTAAAATAAGTCCCCCATAGCCAAAATATTACCTTCAGTCCACCCCACCTAAAAAATCTCAAGAACAGATTTCCTGCATTGAATACTAATGACAAAAAGACCTGATGAGCTGTGGGAGAACAACAGCATCACTCATAAAAAAAGCAGAATCACTAAAAAAATAGAGCAGAAAGAAATGATCAGCATGGGTATCAAAAGAGACTGAAACTTGCTCTTCATTATAGAAGAGCTAAGTCAAATGGAAAAAATGATTCAGTAAAAGAGCTGAAAAGAAAATTTTCAAAGGGCAGCTTGAGAAGACAAACCTGGCTACCATTGAGTCAAAGTTGGCTCATAGTGGCCTTCTGTGGGTTTCTGAGACTGTAATTATTTAGGATAGTAGAAAATCCAGCCTTTCTCTTGCAGAGCTGGTGATGGTTTCAAATGGCTGACCATTGGGATTGCAGCCCAATGCATATCCACTTTACTACGAGGGCTCCTTGAAAGACAAAGATAAATATTATAATGAAATGGTCAAATAGCTAGAATTAGAAAACCAAATAGGAAGATTATGCAACTGTATTTTTAAAAATCATTTTATTGGGGGCTCTTACAGCTTTTATCACAATCCATACATCCATCCATTGTGTCAAGCACATTTGTACATATGTTGTCATCATCATTTTCAAAACATTTTCTTTTTTCTTGAGCACTTGGTATCAGTTCCTCATTCTCCCCTCCCTCCATGCCACACCCTCCCTTCATCATGAACCCTTGATAATTTATAAATTATTATATTTTTCATGTCTTACACTAACTGTCATCTCCCTTCATCCAATTTTCTGTTTTCCGTCCCCCTGGGAGGGGGTTATATGTTGGTTATTGTGATCATTTCCCCCTTTCCTTCCTCCCCTTTGCACCCTTCCCCTCCTAGTATCGCTACTCTCATTAGTGGTCCTGAAGGTATTTTGTTAGGGACTTTTGCATCGATGTTCATTAGGGATATTGGTCCATAGTTCTTAATTCTTGTGGGATCCTTGTCTGCTTTAGGTATCAGAGTTATCCTAGCTT